CCTTTACTTTCATAAAACAATCGGTCGTTCTTTAGTATTTATAATAATAATAATAATAATAATAATAATAATAATAATAATATGAAATGAATGAATGAAAAAGTGCTTTATTAACACAAAAATAAACTGCATATATACATACAACTTATAACTAAACATAATCTTCTGCATAACAAGAAAGAACAAATTTAACTAAAAATAGCACTTTACAGCAATGGTCATAAGACCGTCTGCCGGGTTGACAACATTATCTTTTATGGCAACATTTTCTTTTAATACGACTAAAATGTAAAACTATTTGTAATGAGCTATAATGTTTATATTGTTTTACTGCTAGTCTTATTCGTTGAATTCTAAAACCAAATCCCATCTATACTTCCAAGCATCTCTCAGAAAATTTGCCAGCGAACTCTTCTCCAGGAAATCTATAAACTCTGAGCGAGTTAAAAGAGCTTTCAATAGCCATTTATTTCTAATTTGGGTTAAAATTGGACAACGAGCAACAAAATGATAAGTGTCCTCATTCTCATTTAGATTACATAAAGAACATTTAAAATTAGCGTATGTCATCCAAGGTTTAAAATTTAAGGAAATAGTCTCTGTCCGTACTTTGAATATCCATCGTCTAGCCATATCAGGAACGTTATCTGATAGATATCCATTATCTCCAAGGTCAAGATTCAGTGAAGCATAAGTTGTGTGGTATCGTGAGGCCAATGAATAAATAAATAAATAATAATATTAAAATGCATACATAGGTAAAAACACTTTTTCATTACACTGTCCCAAAAAAAGCTGTATTACGGACCGTTTTGAGTCCATAAAGATAGCTTTTTGCGGAATAGTCCGTAAAATGATACGTACTCGAATCATATGGCTATGTAAAAGCTTATCTCAAAGCTTATCTCAAAAACAAATCAGCTGTTCTGATCCTTTAAAATGCTTCAAAAATATATAAACAAACTTTGTTTGTGTCTTACATAACCTAATTTGTATATTTTAACATAATATATTTTATATTTTCTGCTATATTATATGACAATGTAATGAAAAATGTTGTTCGTAACTCGTCCCAATATGCTTTTTTGTGCCGTAAACGAATTTCCGGACTCGGCAAAGCTTTCGAATAAATTCGAAGAAATAATAAACAGCTGTGAGACAGCTGTTTTTGAGACAGTGTAATGAAAACTACTATTAAAACAAGTCAAACTTGAGCCAATTGTTAGTCATTTGCAAAATTAGATTGCAATAAATTAAAATTTGTACCACTAGCGCACAGTTCATTTTTTAGTTTTACTTAATTTTGAAATGCATTATTTAAAGATTGATTTACTCCATATAGAAGATTTTTGCTTTCTGTCTAACTGCATTTCTCATAAATCTATTATTTATATTTATATCATATTCTAAAAAAACTTTAAAATGTAATGTAAACAGGCACAAAATTAAATAATTAAAAATAGTTTTAGAATGTTATTTTAAAGCCTGTTTTTGTACCCTCAAAAGCTTATAACTTATTATAATAAAACTATAAATTTTGAAAATAATGGAATAAACAATTTAAGGTTTATTGTTGACTAGCAACAGAGCCCGTTGTAGTTAAATACAACGGTCCCTAGAAAGTACAGTAGTACATAATATATGTCCTTGTAAGTACCTGAACATTTTTTAAAGAATGAAATTGTTTAGAAAATAAACTGATGTTCTAAGATCGTTGTGCCTTCACCAACCGTTACAAAATAATCCAATTTCTCAGCATATATTTTGAATTGGCAGTCAAAAACTCTTGCTGCAGCTTCGATTTCGACATTACCGGCGTATTCCCCATCTTTGGTCATCAAATATCTGTATTCCGTCACGTTTTTTACTTCTTGTCTATATGTCTTATCCCCTAAAATAAAAGAACAATAGTAGTCCCAGTTGACGACTTCATCAACTACTGTGGATCGTATATCACTGTATCTGGATTGAGATTTATGGCATAAAAATGAGACACTTCAAAAGAAACATTTTCTATCACCAACCATGTAGTGAAGAGTAAAGTTATTCAGTTCTCAACTAATTTAAAATATTGAGTCTATAACGAACAGTTCAAAATAACGAATATTAAATACTATTTTAAACTGTGAATTATAAATTAAATTTGAATAATTTATAATTGACAGTTTAAAATAATAATTTTTGGTTATGAAATCCATACATCACTTAACTCACTAATACTTAAATGGTACAGATTAAAAACATTACTTTAGAAACACACACTTTACGGACCTCACTTTAACCACCAATTCAAATCGTAAACAACTAAATGTAAACAAAGAAAAATCAAGGAAATAACAATAAAAAATCAGCTGTTAAACTATAGGTTGTGTTCCATATGATGCATACTGGCTAACCCATTATTACTACCATAAATTTTTTTAGATTATTCATACCAGCAAACGTATTACTACCATAAATAAATAAAACTCAAACTTTACTAATTATTTGGAAATCTACACAGATTTTATTGACCTATTAATTAATAAAATCGGTCCAGTAGAACTGTAGATTTAGTTGTAGAAAGTTAACAAAAATCTCTCCAATTCAATATTTTCTCACCACAATAAATTAGGAGGTTGCTAAGCTTTTTTGCAAATAACTCTTAAACGGTCAGGAAATCGACCAAAGTGGAAGGTGATATTCTGAAAGAGAATAAAATTTGCTACAAAGTACTCTTAGACGTTTTTTGAAAAAATATTCAAAAAAGGCAACCTAAAGTTAACTACAAATAGAAATTTTAAAATATAAACTATAAAAAAAAAAATTGTTTTAATGTATTTTTGCTTTTTATTCTTTTTTCACCAAAAATAATTAATAAAATCAAACTTTCATAATTATTTGCAAATCTACACAAATTAGGCTTTCCAACGATACATTAGTTAACAAAATCGGTCCAGTAGAAGTCTAGATTTAGTTGTACAAAGTTTAACAAAAATATCCCTAATTCAGTATTTTTAACAACTAAAAATTTGGAGGTCACTTATCTAATTTGACAATAACTTTTAAATGGTGAGTAAATCGTAGAAAATGCACGTGATATTCTGAAAGAAGATAAAATTTCCTACAAATACCCTCTGTGTATTTCTTGAAATTATTTAATAAAGGCAGCTAAAAGCTGACTACAAATATAAACTTTAAAATAAAAACCTGAAAAAACAGTTTTGAATGTGATTTTGTTATTTTTATTTTTCCGCCACAAAAATTAAATAAAATCAAACTTTCATAATTATTTGCAAATCTACATGAGTAAGGCTTTCCAATGACTCATTAATTAACAAAATCGGTCCAGTAGAAGTCTAGATTTAGTTGTACAAAGTTTAACAAAAATATCCCAAACTCAATATTTTCTCATTATTATAAATTCGGAGGTTGCTTAGCTTTTTTGCAAATAACTTTTAAATGGTGAGGAAATCGACCAAAGTGGAAGGTGATATTCTGAAAGAGAATAAAATTTCCTACAAATTGATACCATACACTTCTTGGAAACACTAAAAAAGGCAGCTAAAAGTCGCACCCAAATAAAAAGTGTGAAAAACACCGTTTTCAATGTATTTCTTATGGAAAACATGTTTTTTTGAAATTTTTCACCATAAATCATAATAAAAAAAACTTTCATAATTATTTGCAAATCTACACGACCTAAGCTTTCCAACGACCCATTAATTAATAAAATCGGTACAGTAGAACTCTAGATTTAGTTGTACAAAGATTTTTAAAACTGAATTATATATAGAATAGATTCTCGGGAGACACTTATTTTCTTTTAGAACGCTTAAATACGGTACTGAACCAAGTGAAGATGGTTATTACTCTACTGAAGTTGTATTGATTATACAATTAGTCTTGACTTTCTTTATTGCCTTTTGACCTTTATTTCACAAAAATGATAAATCTACAACCAGGGATGTACAGTAATAATATACCTGGGAGGTAAGCATTAAGAGCAACAACATTCAAAATATATGTATCAAACTTTGATATAAACATGTAACAAGTTACAGTACTACAAAATATAAAATGAGTTTTGTCATTCTATAACACATTAAAACATTGAATTCTTCTTTTTATTAATTTGTTACGATGAATTTATTAGGTAATTTTTGTGCCATCCAATCTTTAAATAATAAACGAAAAAAGACAAAAAAACATATTTATACAAATTTACATTTTACTCATATCATGCTTACTCGTGCTTTAATTTTCTTGCCAGTTAGAGACGAACGGCAAACCAAAATAAATAGTTTTGTTATATGTTGACAAATTAGGCAGGTTTAAATGTTTATGGTAAGATAATAATACCAATATGCATCTTAAGAAAATTACTATGGAACAATTATTGTGTATAAACATATTAAGACATAAATTAAATATAAACCCCATTTAAGTAAAAATTAAATTACATAAGAGGCATTGCAATAAATAGTATGCTTCGATACAATTTGTGAAAAACTGAACTCAGCTATAAATCATAATGAGATTTTTACATTCTTTAAAAATGTTTTCCAACTAAAGTTATAAGCACAAAACACACGAATGTATTATTGATATTTTAGAGTTGTATAATTAGTTTTTAACCGTTTATCTAAATTTTAGGTTTTACTTAAATTGGTTATAAATAAACCCCTAAAATAATTAAATACTAATTAGAAGCTGTAAATTAAATTGATTTATTCTCATGTAAAAGTTTACAATTATTTAACGTGAATACATACACACAATATTCAAAACTGTTAAAGGAATACGTTTTAGGTACAAAATACACCAGTATGTAGTTATATTAGTGTCTTACATTTTTTAAGATACCCTAACTTAAATATAAAGTTTTAGTTAGTTTATGAACACATCGTATACAGAAAGATTATTTTACAGGTAAAATATAGAATATGCTGAGAAAATAATCCTTTAGAAAAAATTTAACTTTGATTATAATCATTTTTATGAAAAAGAATCTCACTTACGTAATGTTATACGATGTATTGGCTTGCAACACTATCACTTTCACAGCAGCACAGACTCGCTAGTAGTGAAAACATGAACAGCGCACTGGTGACTGACGTTCTTACTACCCCAACAACCCCCTCCCACCCTCAACAGCTCCAATAAACCCAAACTGAACTTCATGGAACTTACTGATAGCCCTTCGATGCATAGAGATCAAGTACTGAGATATGCAAAAATGTCGCCTTGCAAACAGAAATTGTTGATCCTGAGTAGTTTTTGTATGGGTTCAAAATATTTACATTTATCTTAGATTGTTTGTGTTATAGTAAAATTATCCTAAAGAACTCCAGTAGTTTACCTGATAAAGCTACACTGACTACACACCCAATTCTAGACCTACCTTATTCAAGCTTAACACACCTAAAGAAAGTTATTTGCTTATTAAATTACTTTGTGATAATTTGTTAGGGGTGGTTTCAGCAGGAAGTTAGTAAACATTACAATTATTTTCTGTTTTAAAAAATGTAAAAGTGTATACAAAATATTTTAACATTCTTTAAATTTTTTGAACAGAAAATTACAAGACCTCAATTAGATGTCTTATCTGAATAATTTCCACGAGAAGATCTAAATATCTTGTTCAAGTAGGGTGTTAAGGTAGCTGAGTAAGGTAGTGCTTGGCCTACTAATTAGGTGACTGTACTGAAACTCTAACCAGCTGTCCTTGGTCATTGGGCTGATCATGAGTGGTCTGAGCTTGCACTCCAGCTTATCTTATTAAGTCACAAAACTAACATCTCTTTTATTCAACATCAATATTTGTCTAAAAGATGCACATCAGTGTTTTGCTGATGATATTCAAAACTCAATGTTTTTTAAGGACACCACTTCTTGTCGGGTTAAAAGAAGGAAAAATTGATTGATGGGATAGCTAAAATGAGGTTGGCTATGGATATTTTTGGTTTGTTGTCTGAGGCAGATGGTAAAACTGCAATCTTGCTAGGATTGTATTTTGTTGTGAAGTTAGTTTTTGCTAGGGTTTCAGTTTATACAAACCCATTAGAGTGATAGACTGTTTACAGTTTTTACCCACATTTTCTTTATAAATAAAATTTCATTCAAATCCATTGGTGTCATGCTATACTGGTATGAGGTTTAGTATATAATATTTTATGCCTTTATCATTTATAAATTCTTTTTAAAGTATACATATTTAAATGGAGGTATACTTTTGATTTGCCAAAAATATCTATATTATTTCTCAAAAAGGTATATCGAATTGAGTTTTTTTAAATAATTTATCACATAACATATAATAAAGCGAACGTAAAATAATATGTTTTTAAAACATATCAAATGAATTCTCCAACATAAGTGCATCAGCTTAACCGGGCGGAGGTGTCAAAATATAACGTACGAGACAAGAAGATCAACAACAGACTTTTATGAAAAATGATTGTGTGGTAGAAAAAAGTGATAAACACACTTAGCCCTTAGCTTTTCTTTTACTTGAATGTCTGGTGTTGATGTAGTCTTTATTAATACAATGGTCTAACTAATGCTCAGCTAGCGTTTGTCTATTGTATAAAAACCGTCCCATAAGAAAATAAGGTAGACTCACATTCCTCCTTTTACTTTTTACTTGTTTAATGTAGTCATTACCACTCTTGTAATTCTCATAGTTAGACCTGGGTCCTCTTTTAATGAACTAGTAGACATTTTTTTTTGTATTTTCAGCCTTATATTCCTAAGATTTTGCTGCCATTTTTACTTATATTTATTAAAAAGCTACGTTGGTTAGTTATATAATCATCAGTCACATAAATCAGGACACACATACATCTCATTTCTAAAACTGAATTTGCATAATATAATACACAAATGAAATCAAAATAATTTATAAATAAAAATACTTTTTTAAAAATGCCACGTTTTTAAACGCACTAAAAAGTATAAAATTATTTATAAAATGTTGAGAGGATAAATACTTGTAAGATTTAAAACAAAAAACGTGGGGTGCATGCTGATTTACAATTAACTTCACCTATTGAACTATTATGATCTATTGCATGCACCCCACGTTTTTCGTTTTAAATCTTACAAGTATTTATTCTCTCAACATTTTATAAATTATTTTATACTTTTTAGTGCGTTTAAAAACGTGGCATTTTTAAAAAAAGTATTTTTAATTAAAAATTATTATCTAGTTTTTAGTCTTTAATGTGTAAATATGTTAAATCTATTTTATATATAGTCTCTTAATACATAAACAAACCCCAAAACCTTATTTTCTGTAATCAGATGTTTTATATTTACCTTGAAATTATTGTTTTATATTTTTTGCATATTTCGGGAGCAGAACCTGTACCTCTTAACCTCTGCTCCTCTAACTGTCAAATTTAAGTATTTACAGCTAACTTAAATAAATTTATATGTTAACATTCTTTTAAAATGTAAACATGGAAAATTTGGAAGCCGAAGGGGCGTAGCCCAAGGGAAATATGAAAATTAAATGATATAATATTGCATTGTCAACCATTTATGAGCAATTATTCAAATTTCAAGTCTCTAGCACATCGGGAAGTATCAAAACTTGCAAGAAAGCGGTTTAATAAAAACAAGCCCATGGGGCGTAGCCCAAAGAAAATATGAAAATTAAATGATATAATATTGCATTTTCTTCCATTTGTGAGCTATGTTTCAAGTTTTAAGTCTCTAGCTCGTCGGGAAGTTAGTATAAAATTGATTTCAAAATTTGTACCGGACAAGAAAGCGAGCTAATAAAAACGTATTAACATGTTAAGAAAGGTTTAGGCCAATACAGTTTCCAGTGGGATATTATCATAAAATATCAATTATCAATTATCAATTATCAATTATCAATTGATGGGTTATTTAAGATTTAAGATTATTTAATAATAAAACAAGAAAGGCCAGAGCTCTTGGCTCAATAGGGGTGGGTGTTCCAAACCAAGATAAACCTGATCAGTATATTCATGATAGACCACCAAGAGCACAGTCTTCTGGATATATGTGATTCATTCCCTAAACGATTGAGTTTGTATTCAATGGAAAATTAAATGCATTGAGTTGATTTTTCAATTCTCCATTATTTCATGAAGGTTTTAAAATGTACATAACTTATTTCATGTTTATGGAACTATTCGAAAAACTGTAGCGTTAAACATTTTGTTGTACCACAGTGTTGTGTCGTATTGTAAGGTAAATTAGTAATACTCGGGGAAAAATTTAAGATTGATAAATTAATATAATTTAGTAACATATTAATATAAAAAGTCTTCTGATTTATTTTATTGAATAAGCACCAATCGTTCCTATTAGTAACTATGAGTTGGGAGTATGGTAGTCATCATGTTTTATTTTGTTGGCATTTATTATATATACGGCTAAGGATGGAAGAAGTTGTCGATTATGCGATTTGAGAATATATTCATTTATTTGCTTATCGCTCAAACTATCAATCCTGTACATATTTATTGTTAAAGCTGAAAACATATTTTTAATAATTAGAGTAGATTCGCAGTAGTGGCAAAAGAAACTAAGTCTGCATCAGTATAGTATTATTATTTATTAATTATAATAATTAACGAATTAAACTATTAAAACAATTTAACTATTTAACTATTTAAAAAAATATAATAATAATATGATACAAATAATACAGCAACAAAAGCTATGAAATAAAAAGTTGTTAGCAAAACAAATATATGAAATTCTAAGTGTAAAACTCACTCGTTATCACCAAATAGCAATGATATTTTAAGTCCAGAAGAGAATATGCTAAATAAAGGAATAACTGATGTAATTATTTATTTATTTGTTTTACATAACAATGAACATCTCCAATTTTATAAACCAGACATAAATACATTTCTCTTAAGGGACTGTTTAACATAGAATTCAAATAATCTTTGTACAATATTTCTACCCAGCAATATATAAATATTATAGCTAAAAACTCTCAAAAATTTATAAACAAACAAAAAGAGGACATAAATTGATATAGTAGTTTTATTTCAGTTTAACTTATGGATTTTAAGAAATGTAAACTAATTTATAGTTCATTTTTTACCTTGTCATGGATTTTTACCTTACAAATCTCTTCTCATATCCTTAAAGATTCCGGGGACGAATCCGTAAGTAAATATCGAAATGGAAATTGGCTGTTAGGAATTCTCAGAACAGTGGCTTTCTTTGAGTTTAAAGCTTAGTATTTTGCTCTATATTGGCTCAGTGATGTTAAGGACATATAGATAGTACCTCATCTTTGCAATCTATACTTTTATAAAATTGAGGTGGTGTCTGTCTGGATGTATGTCTAGGTAGCTGAAACGACTAAAATATTAAACCGATACCGCCAAAATTAAGCACAAAGATGGTCCACTTATCTAGGCATGTCATAAGCCCCTTGGATGACCAACGCTTTGAGGTGAGTTTTCAAAAGTAAATATTAATTGGTCTCCATGGAAGCATAAGAAAATCCACAATGTTTACGTTTCCTTTGACATTTCAATGTAAACAACCAGGACTGCTAACTGGTTATTTCATAATTTCAGACAGCTGATCCAAACAAATTAAATAAAATATTTAACACAACCATGTGGTAGGTTTTTATTTATACTAAATCTTTGTCATAAATTGTTTATTCTTAAACTATGTCATTATGGAAATTAGGAAATTGTCTATAACCGTTGCTGTATTAACCCTGGCTCTACTTTCGATTCATTTAATTGTCTAAGTTATGAAAATAAAACGATTGATATATTTTCATGTAAACAGTTGGACAATTACAATGAGGGTTCTACATTTTTGTATAAATTTGGTTGATTTTTGTTTATAAATTTAAATTACACACATGTGTTTCGATTGGGCGGTATAGTACCACTTCCCGTTGCGAAGCACGGACGCAGCAGCTATTAGAATATATTTTCCGAAATTGGCATAGTTATAAGCTTACATTAAAGAAGCATTTTTAAGATATACCAGTAAATTTTTTGTCACGTAACTACGTTGTTTAACATGAATTAGAAACATTCCTCGTGTAGTTTCTTTGCAGCAGTTC